TGCAGAGGTGTGGAAAAATACCCTTGCAGATTTCTTTAAGAAACTGAAAGTGAGTCTCCTGAAAAGAATGGACACACTAAATACGGATAAATTTAGTATTATGTTTAGCTGTTGAGGTTTCTGTGTAATTTTCTCTTAAATATACAGTACTGTGCAAAAGTTTTAGGCACCTGGATTTAAAAAAACTATTTATCTGGTAAAGATTTTATTTGCTCTCGCTGACATCAGAATAAATTCAAATAACATTATTGTATAAGTAATAATTTTCACGTGTCGACGTGTTAGTCTAACCATTTTCAAAGCTCTCCTCGTAGCAGCCCAGTATTATTTATAGTTAGTAGCCAGTGACTGATTTGGTTAATCAATACTTCATTAAATTAAATCAGGTGCTGCTGATGGAATTTAACAAATCCATGTGATGGCTGGAGATGTCCAGGAGAAATCTGGAGCCAAACTTTGCTCACAAGATATCAACTTTTTTCAAAATAAGAACTTCTTTATGTATTTATGTTTATGTCTCACATAAGTATATACATATAGTGTGTGTATACATATATATATATATATATATATATATATATATATATATATATATATATATATATATGTACATATATATATATATATATATATATATATATATCAAGTAATGTTTTACTACGGGGTACTGGCTACAACTAGATTTTGAAACTTCAAAATGGTTCTTACTACTTAATCGGTTTATTTATGCTTTGTATAGGAAATGGAGTTGGATGGGGCAATCGCACGGGGGTTCCCACGGCAACTGGCCTCCTAATACCTTTATTAGGCCCCTCACATAGATACTGACACAACTGTACACCAATGAGTCTGAGAACGATCCAGTTTCTTAAAGGGAAGCCAGACTGTTAAGACTTGTTTGCCTTAAAACAGTGTATATGTCCAATAAACCAAATGGGGATGCTTTGTTTATTTAAAAAAAATATGAAAATAAGCAAAATCCCTCTACTAGTAGGCTACCATTCTCACTGTGCCATATGCAGTCGAAAATAAGACAATCAAAATAGCATTCCTCTTAAGTAACGTCACGTTCTAGCTAATGTTGTTAAAATGCTGAAGGATATATTTGAGTTTAATGAGATATTGAGCTCACTGTTCTTCACTTGATACAGCCACAAAAATGCTAGATAGATAGATAGATAGATAGATAGATAGATAGATAGATAGATAGATAGATTCAACTTTACTGTCATTGATCAGTACAGGCAATGAAATGCAGTTAGCATCTACCAGAAGTGCAAATAGTTGCAATAGTGCAAAACGGACAGTGCAAATGTACAATAACAGCCATAAATATGATGTGTCTGGAAAATATATGAAATATATAAATATGATGTATCTATGAAACATACAACTATATAAACAACATATACACAATTACAAATATATCTATGAATGATATATACATGTATATATATATATATATATATATATACATAATACTATAAATACAATATATACGGTACGTTATGTACTGTTAGAGTAAGCAGTTATGTGTTGTATTCTATATACAGTGAACAGTCTGTTGTATGGAAATGCAACATACAATATTACAAGGTTAGTGGAGTGGTGTGGAGCTCAGCAGGGTGATGGTGGAGGGAAAGAAGCTGGACCTGTTCGGATGGAAGGAGGTTAAACAGTGTGTGGCTGGGATGGGAGGAGTCCTTAATGATGCTGAGCGCTCTGTGCACACAGCGCTGGGGGTGGATCTCTATGATGGCAGGGAGCCGTGTGCCAGTGATGCGTTCAGCAGTCCTCACCACTTTTTGGAGGGCCTTCCTGTCGGCCACAGTGGAGCTGCTGTACCACACTGTCATACAGTTGGCCAGTACGGTTTCAATGGTGCAGCAGTACAAGTTTGTGAGAATCTGAGGAGACAGATGTTCCTTCTTTAGTCTCCTCAGGAAGTAGAGGCGCTGCTGTGCCTTCTTAATCAAGTGTGAGCCTACTAGTAAAAGGATTTGGTCTATTTTTTAATAATAAATATTTTACTTGGTTTATACAATATATTTGAATGGTACTGGGCGTGTACACCATACTGGGGCCTATATGTCTTAACAGCCAGGGTTTCCTTTAACAACATACCTCACCAATTAGCTTCTAACTACACTACACAGAGCACACTGACGTCTATTAATCTCTCTATTATTCATAATGCGTCTCATGCATGGAAACTCCTTTCATAGTGATCCTTTGCAACCTGTAACATGATACACCGATCAGGCATAACACTATGACCACCTCTTTGTTTCTACGCTCATTGTCCATTTTATCAGCTCCACTTACTATATAGGTGCACTTTGTAGTTCTACAGTTACAGACTGTAGTCCATCTGTTTCTCCGCATACATTGTTAGCCCCCTTTTACCCTGTTCTTCAGTGGTCAGGACCCCCATGGACCCTCACAGAGCAGGTACTATTTGCATGGTGGATCATTCTCAGCACTGCAGTAACACTGACGTGGTGGTGGTGGTGTGTTAGTGTGTGTTGTGCTGGTCTGAGTGGATCAGACACAGCAGTGCTGCTGGAGTTTTTAAACACCTCAGTGTCACTGCTGGACTGAGAATAGTCCACCGACCAAAAATATCCAGCCAACAGCGTCCTGTGAGCACTGATGAAGGACTAGAGGATGACCAACACAAACTGTGCAGCAGCAGATGAGCTATCGTCTCTGACTTTACATCTACAAGGTGGACTGATGAGGTAGGAGTGTCTAATAGAGTGGACAGTGAGTGGACACAGTGTTTAAAAACTCCAGCAGCACTGCTGTGTCTGATCCACTCAGACCAGCACAACACACACTAACACACCACCACCACGTCAGTGTCAAATAGTACCTGCTCTGTGAGGGTCCATGGGGGTCCTGACCACTGAAGAACAGGGTAAAAGGGGGCTAACACAGTATGCAGAGAAACAGATGGACTACAGTCTGGAACTGTAGAACTACAAAGTGCACCTATATAGTAAGTGGAGCTGATAAAATGGACAATGAGCATAAAAACAAGGACAAGGTCATAATGTTATGCCTGATCAGTGTATATCCATTATTTATGATATTAAAATCTTAAACAGATAAACATTTAGGCTAACGTTAGATGCTATCAGGTGCAACAGCATGCCTTGAGAGCATCGACTCCTTTGACACATAACAACAGTGAATAAACAAGCAGATTACATTGTCATATGTGGGACCCATTCATTTTTTGCATTGTTGCTGAGTGGTCAGCCACACATGACATTCATCTAGAAGCAAGGGGTGGTAGCAGCATGGGGGGAGGTGATCTGCTCTCTCCGATAAGCTGGTAGGATTTGCTGACTCAGTGCTGGCAGAGAGAATGAGCGAGGGGCAATAGATTTTCCTGAGCTGCAGTAGGTTGCAGCTGGAATACTCATGAGCGCAGTAGACTACAGCAGTGCTGCTCTCTCTCTCTCTCTCTCTGACACTGGCTGGACTGATCACAGAGCATTCTGCAGCATGTGACAGCCACTGCAGGCATGCAGGTGGCAGTCATGCAACACAAGCATCCAACCCTAATAATACTGCTATTGCAGTCTAAGCACGGCCTTTTCTCTTATTTACTCTCGCCCATCAACATAGTCAGCCAGCACAAAACCATGACTGTCACCAGCTACAACCAAACGCCCCAGAGATATCAGGTGGATTTGTTTATTTATTTATCTGTTTAATTATTTATTTGCTTATTTTGAGGATGGACTACTCACATATTCCACCAGATGTAGCTAAAGTGTCAAACTCTGCCTTCACTTACTGTAAACCTTGTTTTGTGCACTGCTACTTAAAGGGGACTTTCAGCACTTTTTCAAAAATTCTACATAATTAAACGGTTGACATGTAAAGTCATTCAGAGTGGTTTGGTGGGAAATGCTCCATTCTAGAGAAACTTAGAGACACAACAGTTCACAGTGGTGGTGATGGGAACCAGACGTCCACCTCTAAAAGCTCCCTCATAAAAAGTTATTACATGTAATTGTTATGAATGTCATTTGCGATAGTTTTCGATAAAGTTTTGGCCTAAAATTTATTTAATCCATTCATGATGGAGGGATACATACAGGACGTTGTAAGGCAAAGTGGTCCCTAAAGAAAACTTTTTTTTTTACCATAACCAACATGACATATGAAAGCTCAGAAAAAGCTCAAGAAAATATGGCTATATTTGTTTTGTAGACATGGAGACCCCTGGTTCCCCTGGTTCCCATCACCACCACTGTAAAGAAATCAGCACGCGCGAGTTTCTCCACAATGAACCACTTCACATCAAATCACGCTGAATGAATCTCAATCACTGAATTATGCAAAATTTTGGAAAATTAGTGGAATTGCCCTTTAAGCTTCCTCTCTCTCTCCCTCTGTTAGAGAGCGGAGGTGTGACTGTTGTGGTCTTTGCTGAAATCGAGCGTGCGTGCGCGCTTTTAAAATTCGCGTGGCCGTTTGGCGCAGTGCGAACAATCCGCACGCGCTCTCTCCGCCCTCTCTCCCTCCGCGCGCGCCGGCGGGTCGGTGCCGCGAGCATCTTCCCACTCACTCCCTCACTCATCGCCATAACAACCGGCTCGGTCCTCGTCGTGTCCTCCGTTCCCGTTGCCGCTTCTCCGCTTCTCTGGAGGAGCGCGCACACGCGCTCGCGCGGAAAGAGAAAGCGCCCCCCCCCCCGACTTCTCCGAGTGGTTTACGTCAAAGCCGTTTAAAGCCGTTGCAGGTGTGCGGCGGCGGGAAGCGCGCGCGTGTCTCTCTCTCCGTGAGAGAGGAGCTCGACAGGCGTTAGGAGAGAAGGAGGGCAGTGGGGGTCTCGGTTCGGTCCCGTCTGTCCGCATCGTGTCTCACAGCAGCAGGAAGTGTAACTCGAACCGTGGGAAAGCGGCGCTTTCTCCTCCGGGGATCCACGAAAAAGCTGCAGCCGCCGTCCGTTCGTCTGTCCGCGGTCCTCCCTCCCCCGGTTCCGCCACCATGGCTCGGGAGAACGGAGAGTCGGGCAAAGACTCGTGGAAGAAGCAAGTGGACGACATCAAGAAAATCTTTGAGTTCAAGGAGATCCTCGGAACGTGAGTGACTTTGTTTGCTATTGTTTTCCTCTTGTAAGGTCAAACCGCTTTTCTGTTGGACGAGGCTGAAGTCGGCTTCTTGTTCGAATTATCCCGTTCCACCTTAAATGGTGTAGCAGTTGCATATAACTGCCGCACCGTTTAAGGTGGAACGAGAAATTCGAACTAGAAACTGACGATTAAGAAGGCTCAGACGCCAGAATACAACGGCTGCACCATTTAAGGTGGGACGGGAAAATTCGAACTGGCGAATACGAAGGCTGAGGCGCCCGAATCTAGTTAACTGCTGCACCGTTTAAGGTGGAACGGGAAATTTGAACAAGAAACTGGCGAATAAGACAGCTTCAGGTTTCACACTGTAACTGCTATACCATTTAAGGTGGAACGGGAAAATTTAAATAAGAAGCCAACTTCAGCCTCGTTTCTGTTCCAACGGCTAACACAACGTTAACACGGGCTAAATGTCGTTCACTAAGAAGACACACGAAGTTTGTTGTCAATTATTTTTGCATGAAGAAATACACAACTCTCTCCTCGGGTGGTGGAAAGGTTCCCCAAGCACGACTTAATCAGATTTTGTTGGTAGAGAAAACCGTTTAGCCTGGAGAGATGCACTTGCCCTGGCTAGCCACCCCCCCTCACTCATAGCAACGGGCGAACGCAGCAACGGGGGTTGCTCATCGTTTCTGGACTGTTTATTCGTAGAGCTGCGTAACGTGAAGCTAGCAGGCTTTTCTGTTTTTATTTCTTCCTCTGCCACATGCATTTATTCCACACATTCCGCTAGCTAGCTAAGGTTTTACTGTTGTTAGCTTTTAAGTTGCTCATCCAAACTGTAAACAGGTCACAGCCAGTTAGTGGTATCCGCTGTGGTTGTGTTCATCTTCAACACATGCCCACAGTGTTATGAACCACAGCTAATACCCACACGGAAATCTGATATATGACAACGTATGGATTTCAGATATATTCCTGCTGAAAAAAACAAAACAAAAAAAAACATAGCAACTGTGAAGTGTTTCTGTTGGCTCCTCATGCTTTTGTAATGTGTTTTGGCTTTTTAATGGGTTGACATCACCATGTATATCAAGGATCCTAGGTTAATGGTTTAACAGGTGACCAACGGCTGATGCTAAATGCATTTGATGGTCTTCTAATGGGATCTGTAGATATTCTACAGGAAACCAGTGGTCTCATTTGGAAATCAAGCCAATTCCCATTAGCAAGCAAAACCATTAGGTTTCAATTCTGGTTTCTGATGTTTTTTTTGGCATGATGACCCATATTGGCACATATGAACTTCCTTTATAGCCAACTTATACAAATATGGGACATACATTTCAGCCGTATATTGTCTTATACAAACATATGCATGTAACGCATGTATTTAAAAATATATGGTAGAGAAAAATATTCATATATGGATGAAATATTACTCAGTTAGCTTAATGTTACATATTTCATTTCGATTTTTTGCTTTAAACCATCTTTCAGTGTTTGTGTCAGACTTATATTTGACATACAGCATATATATGACCCGTATTTTATGTGCATGTTTTCATCCTCCTATTAGACATATATGAATGACCCATATATTATGTATATGTCCAATATTTGATACATATATGAACACTGCATATGCCTAACCCTCTTTGACCTGTGCATATGTGGTCATATATCAGATTTTCTTGTTGGTAGGTATTAAATGAGGTTGCCTACATTCACTGGGGCTGCAGCGTAACCAGCATACTGAGGTTTGCTTTGCCTGAGCGGTAATACCCCACTGCTTTTCTTCCACGGGAAGCTATACAGTCTCCTTGTGAGAATCACTAGCCCTCTTATACAGGCGGTAGGGAGGCACAGTGCATCGCCACACGCTGTTCACCCTATGAACACAAAGGTGACCACCCGTGGTCGAGAGGGCTCCTGTGATATAAGCCTTGCGTGTCACGCTGAGGCGACCGAGCGCTCGAGGACGGTCGCACCGAGGCTTGGATTAACTAGGTCGGATTATGGCGCGAGAGGAGTCCTTGAATAGACTGCATCCGCTCTGCGTTGCATAACTGTCAACACCAGGGTTTATTATTAAATTATTAAATGACAGTAATGTGGGATTCCACTTAGGTAGGCTGCTGCAGTGAGCGCCGTGAAGTGACTGAACTGTGTGCATGTGTGGCTCTCTTCCATTACGCTTGGATGAGGTGGATCTAAGCTTGGTGCTAGGACACTGCCGTCATGGCAACCTAAGAGCCAGGAGTCATGGCAACTTGGACTGGCCCTCCTAAGATTTGTGTTCCCCTCATATAAATTCAGTAGTACGTTGGATGCACCACTATGCACACATACAAGCATAATCATTTACTCAGCTGACCTCTCTGTACTGACAGGCTTGTTTCTGCTTTGAGGGATATTCATTTCTGGAAAAAGGAAGAGATTCAGGCAGCGTTTTTTTTCTACCGCACACAGGATGCTTAACTTTCTGTGGTGCGTTCTTTATAGGAAAACGCTCAGCTTCTGAATCATTAACATCCATCACTCTAATCATCTGCCGCTGCCAGATCCGCTCTCACTCAGAGCTGCTTTCGCACGGCCCTGACCTCCGCTCCTCACTTTTGACCCTTCTGCACTCGCCCTGTCATTCGTCTGCTTTCCAGCACTGAGCTGCTCAACGACCAGACAGCCATCTGGATGGCACAGTCGCACACACAGACGACTTACCTGATTAACGAAGGGCCTGCTTCCTTTTGTCCTGACGGCCTCTGTCACAGATCTTCATTCACATTTCTAAATAGGTCAACAGATTCACTGTGCTTGGGTTCACATTTCTGCACAGTTGTATGTAAAGGTTGTTGTGTGTTTACTTCACACCAGTGTCACTCTTCACTGAAGACTTGTATGTGGGTCTTGTTTTAGTTGTAGCGTTCTATAAAAAAATAAAAATATTATTTGGTATTGAACTTGCACATATAAAATATAAAAATGTCTTCACACTCGCACATCTCCTTTACAAAAACGTCTCTTTAGAGAATAATCCTTCAGAAGGATCTTTACACGCTTAAAAAAGAGAGTTCTTCAGGCGTTCTTTAGTAAAGAAAAGGTCTATATAGAACCATGAACACCCAAAGAACCCTTTGCATGATTAAAAGGTTCTTTGCATCATTAAAGTGTTCTTAAGAATGCTGTCAATGGTTCGACGACATCAAGCTTGTAACAATAGAAGAACCCTTTTGGGTGCTGTATAGAACCCTTTTCAAAAAGGTTCTATACAGAATCATATACAGCGCATTCCCCATCAATCTGAAGAACCATTGCGTGATGCAAAGAACCCTTTAATCATGCAAAGCGTTCTTAAGAATGTGCTGTAGATGGTTCTATATAGAAGACTTTTGAAGAGGGTTCGATTTAGCACCAAAAAGGGTTTTTCTGTTGTTACAATATCAAGCTTGTGACAATAGAAGAACCCTTTTGGGTGCTACATAGAACACTTTTCAGAAAGGTTCTATATAGATCCCTTTTCAAAAAGGTTCTATATAGAACCATCTACAGCACATTCTCCATCAATCTGAAGAACGCTTTCATGATGGAAAAACCCTTTAATCTTGCAAAAGTTCTTTGAGTGTTCATGGCTCTATACAGAACTATTTTCTTTGCTAAAGAACCCTTGAAGAACTGTCTTTATAAAGTTTATTTATTTATTGTTTATTATTTATTAATTAATGATCCTCAGGGTCCTCCAGGTAGTCAACATTTTTTATCTTTATGTATTATGCGCAAAAATGTTGATCATCTGAGGATCCCTGAGGACTGATTTGAGCATCACTGCTTTAAGGAAGCCGAAGTGGTTCTTCCATGGAAAGAACCTTTTTGCCACCCTCATGTTTAAGAGTGTAGCCCTAGCCAGTTCTCACTCTGTAGCTCTCTCCCCCACTGCATTCTAGCTAACAACCAGGTGTGGGCTAATTACCGCATCTTTCCAACTGGCCACCCACACAGCACCATAGAGCAGTTCAGCGTGCAGCACAGAAACCATGGAGTCTCAGTTCATGATCTGTTTGATGTACTGAAATGATGTACTAATGTAAAGCAGAGTAACGACAGGCAGAACAGAGCTATGCCATCCTTCCCACCCCTGAGAGGACAGTCAGTTATACGCTCTCAGCTATGGATGAGGAGTGAGGTCCTTGTGATCAAAACCCATTCTGTGCTGGAATAATTCTTTATGTTACCCTTTTAGAAAGGCATAGTAACAGTTTACTGTGTGTATTGTGCTTAATACACCTGTTACATAACTATCAGTCAAGTGCAGTAAAGGCATTATATCTCACACATTGCACATCGGTTAAACTAAATGGTTCATTATTCTTAGAAAGGTTAATCATTATGGTGGCCAGGCTCATACCGTCAGAGCTCCATGCTGTTGATCACATAATCCAGAGACTCTGACCTCTTAATAATTTACTCCCACAATAACGTGCTCTTTCAAGAGTGAGACATATCCAGTCCTTGCCTCATGGGACTAGATGTGATCTTGTAACGAGAATACATGTCCTGGGACATCCTGTTAAAGTTCTTGTGCTGGGCTGCAGCAAAAATGCAGCTAACAAGGTTATATACCCTCTAAATCCCCGCCACAAGTTTTTCCACTGCGTGCTCTGTTAATGTTTGAAGTACGATAGATAAAACAAGCAAAACAAGCTAGCTAGCGAATAGCTAGTGATAGCTACAGTTCATTCCTCAAATGACTGTTTAAGAAACACTTTGATTAAGTTTTGTAAGAGGTGGGTTAAATACATCAAATTGAGTACAGAAAAAGACAGTAATTTTAAGTATCTGATATCTCCTAAGGCTAAAGTATAGTCTGGTTTAACAGAATTGAGTTTCCCCTTGTAAGAAGTAAAGTTTATTCACAGCATGTAATGTGGTTTTTCACACACGACACACATCTACATCTTTAATTAGATCCTTAATTCATATTTGTGAGGAAGTTCTCAGCCATGCTA